GAAAAAAAAAAAAAAAAAAAAAAAGGGAAAAAAAAAGAAAAAAAAAAAAAAGAAGAGTCAAAGTGTCCTATTATCTCTGTGTCTCTTAAGCAAAAGGATTGTTCTTTCTACTTGTTACACTGTACATACTTGTTCAAGTTTCTAAGTGTCCAGTTCCACCTGGGTTTTGCCTTGCTTCCATCTGGGTGGATGTTTTTATAGGCTTCATCCCGTCAAGCAATTCCCACGCCCCCAACACCTGGGCTCTCAGCAACCGCAGGAAACAGTGGCAGTGGCTGGTCCGTGGCACTAGTGCCACGGAGGACCAGAGAGCCCTTAAGAGCACAGCTAGGGAAATGCTAGGGGCGCTGTTGTTGCCTTGCACTAAGCTGAGGGCTGAGTGACTAAACTGAGTAGATCTATAGACAACATGGTGAGCCATCCATCCATCAACGTAATCATACAGGCTTTCTACCCATCCATCTCTTCTCTTCACCCATCCGTCTAATTACCTACCCATCTGGCTTTCCATCTAACCATCTATTTGCCGTATTTATCAACGTAATTATCTGTGTTTCTATCCAAATCTCTCCTGCTCTGGTCTCCGTCCATCCATCAGTGTAATCATCTCGATCTCTCCAGCCAAGTTTCCTTGCCTCTCCATCCATCCGTTTATTTTTTCCCCTCTGTTTTCACCTGGGCATCCACCTGTTACGGCGGAGGATAGTTAGAAACTCCACAACCTTATGCTTACGCCACACGGCTCCAGGCTAGCTCACGGCCCAGCCAAAAAGATGAGCAATATCTGGCCCCTTGTCTGATGATGCCACGTCAGAGTCAAAGCACAAGACGGGTTACCGTGTATGTTTTAGTAGCAATCCATTGCTTAGTGCCACCAAGAACAAAAAGAATAATAATAAAAGAAATCAAGCTGCTTCTGCCGTCCTACCTCCCCAAAATGTTTCCCTTCCAGCAGCAAACACCCTGGCAAACCCACCCCCTGACAACCCTTTGCCTTTCAGAGCCAGTGACTTCATATCCGCTAACAGGTGCCTGCGGCTCCTCGGGGCGGCATGCTGGATGTCTTTCAGACCAGCCCCCAAGCGTCTGCGGCTCTGAGCGGTGCATCCACTGCCCGTTCGGGGCCCGGCAGAAGCCATCTCTCACCTCCGTCGCCAGCCCCGCTCCTTTTTTGTTCCCTTAGAAATCCATCCAGTCTGAAGCTGATGGAGGCCAATTATTTTGCTAGTGTGTTGACATCACTCTCGTGTTTGTTTGGGAAGCTCTTATGAGCAGAGGGTACTTGAGTAGCTGACTTAATTTCCAAGCACTTGATTAACTCAACATTGAAAACAGACGGGAAAGAGGAAGGGAAGGGGAGGTGGGGGGTGGAAAAATCAACACAAAAACCCCTATATTCACGTGGTTTCCTGTGTCTCAGCTGTTTCTGTTCAAGTCAGAGAGGGAATTTCTGGCGCCGGGCTCTGAAATGTAGCAGCAGCACTATCGAAACTTTGACTTTTCAGACTGTGGATGTTTGTTTCAAAGGTTCCTCCTGGTTCCTCTCCAAGTTTCCTGGCTCAGTTTAGGCCTTATTAGAAAGGGACGGAGCACTTTCTTCGAAGCCCAGCAACAGTAAGAAGAGGAGTCTGTATTGCCGTGGTGTCTTTGAATGTACTTTTCCCAGTCAAACCTAACCTAGCTTCCTGGAGCAGGTGAGGCAGGAAGGGGCTCAAGGACTCCAGCCGTCTCAGATTGATTCAGTCCACCCAAAAGCCCTGGAGCAGATGGGGCCGTGCTGCAGAAACCGGATCCATGGAATAAATGGAGCGGCTTCTACAAAACCTGCCAAGTAGAAAGCTTTTCGCTCGCCCTGATACTGCAAGACACAGAGACTACTTTTGAGGTAGAAATGGAGGTGGAAGGAGACCGTGATGTATGTGGGTTCCCCCCCCCTCCTCCTCTTTTTTTTTTTTTT